TCCTGTGTCTGGACTAAAAATGCATACTTAAGCTAATTTTCTATGTTGTATGTGACCAAGCATCCTTCACTTTCCAGAATTGTCCCCATTTTATTCAGTGTGTGCTGAAAACAGCCTGGAAAGTGAAATAATGTGCTAGATATTGCACATTTTAGATATTTGTTAACTCATAAATGGTTTCTGTATTTTGTGGGATACAGACATTTGAGAAGCTGGAGGAAAGAACTTTATTTGGGGGAAAAAGTAATATTGAAAAAGGGGTCCCTGCAACTATTCAGGTCAAGTGACTTGGGATAAAAAGTCTCCATCTTTATGTAAAGTAGAATGACAGCATGCCATGAAAAGGCCTTGAGGTAATATATTTTACATTTTATTTTAATGGATATGAACTGTAAAATTGAAAATAAAAATAATATTTTAAAGAAACCATGAAATTGTATTGCAGTCCTAATTTTGGAAAATAGCAATACTTTTTCTTTTCTTAGGAATTCATTTTATTTATTAAAAGCTATCATTTAATTTAACATTATTTATTTATTTAATAATAATTCATTTTATTTATTGTTATTTATTTTTTAAGAGTTAAACACACCACATATTTCAGTTGCATCTTTATTTTCAGTTTTGGAAAAAAAATAAAACATTTCAATCAGAGTATACTATATTATTTAAAAAGCTTCATAATAATGATTTAGTTTGAGTTTCTCTTTAACTTATTAAATAAGATCCATGCAACATTTATTTAGATGATGCACATTTTTATCTTAATTGCATTTCATAACAATTCAGCATCGTAACTGTTCGTGCTCATGCATTGTTTTGGATGTGGCTTGACGTCATTATCAGCAGTAGACTGGGGAGACAAGGATGTCTATAAGTTACTAAGAAGTTACTAAGAACAGTTTGATGCGTTAATGACTAAATATAATTGAGAGTAGTATGCCAGAGTTCTACAGTATATATTGTAATTCATTTACATTTACCATGATCAAAATATACACAACAAATTTGTGGATTTGTCCTTTTTGACTTACTTGCATTATTTCAATCATTTGTGGACTTATATTAAGGCAAAGTGTTATGAATGAAATAATTTTACTTTTATAACACTTACAGTTGCCCTCAGCACAGGTGTGAGAATATATTAACTCTGTAGTTAAAATGCTTCATCATAGTTACAGATGCTTTCTGCTAGTGCTTAGAAAAATCACAAGAGCACAAGTTATGAGGCTGAATTGGACAGAGGTGAGCATTGTTTGCGAGCACTTTCCTTCCTCAGGCTATCCTCCCTTCTGCAGATCCGCTCATTATAAGCGAAGAGCAAAGGTAGCGCGCAACAGCCATTGTGGCCGATCGGAACCTGAAGCACCCTCCAATAAGCAGGAGAACAGCATCGTAGGCATTGCAGCACCCCACTTCAAACCTACCAAAACCCCATTTTCAGGCCCCACAGCTGCCCCGGCTCTGCAAGAGCACTTAGCCATGTCATTCTATCCGCCTCTCCGGACCAGAGGACAGGGGCGCAGTTTTGTGTGCCGCTGTCTCTGATATGACTCCAGAAATGGAAATGAGGCCATGGATCTTCATTAGAAGCAGGTGTCCTCTGGCCTGCCCAGGTGAAGACGCTGGGAGGAGTGGGCAAGGGGGGAAGGGGCTCCTCACGAGTACGACTCCAGAAATGGAAATGAGGCCATGGATCTTCATTAGAAGAGGCAGGTGTCCTCTGGCCTGCCCAGGTGAAGACGCTGGGAGGAGTGGGCGAGGGGGGAAGGGGCTCCTCACGAGGCCTGGCGGCCCTCGTTTCGGCCCCTCGTCCCCCTTCCCCCACGACACTTAATTGCCCGTGTAATGAGCTACTGTTGAATGGGCTTACTTGTGTGGAGGTACTTGAGGAGCCATGCATTAGGGGTACCTCCTGCAGCTCCTAATCTCAGAGCCCATATACAGAGAGCGCCGTGTATGAAACGCCAGAGAGAAAGACACTCACCTCTCCTCTGCATCATTCTTGTTTGCATTCGCCCCCAGCTCCAGCCCCTCTGCTTTGTCTCCAGGTTCATGCTGGTGAAATTAACAGGGCTTTGAAACCTGTGGAAGCGAGGCAGCCTTAAAGGCCCTTCAAGGCAAATGAGGATCCTGGAGAGTGAGAAGTTTTTTTATGACGGGACACCTGTTTCTGGCGCATATCTTGTCTTTCTGTGCTTGAGGATGCAGAACACCTGCACATAGACAATTACATGCTCGTTTACTGCAAAAAATCTTTCCGGATCAAACATCACGTACCATTGAAAATCTCCAATTTTATGCTGATTTAAAATACTTGAAATTGTGAAATGTGTTCTGAAAAGTCATTTTCATTTTGGCAAATTATCACCATTATAATGATAATGCTAAAGTTTTAAAAATTGTTAAAACGTAGAAAAATCTGAATCAACTTAACTTTAAGGAGCTTGAGAATTTAAAGCAGCAAACAACAACTGCAGCTTGCGCTTATAATAAACAGAACGTTATCGTCTTTACGTTATCGTGGATGTTAATAGTTATCGTTATAGTTGTGAACGGGCCATATGAATATGAATCATATGATCACATTCATTCTTTTTCATTATCGGCCATTGGTGTGCATGTTAATACAGTTATCATTATAGTTATCTTTATGCTTATTGTTACTTTTGTGAAAAAGCCTTTATTCGTATGAATTCAATCATCTTATTTGTTCATTAATTTTGTTATCGTCTGTTGGTGTGGACGCTAATATAGTTATCATTATAGTTGTCTTTATAGTTATCGTTACTGCTGTGAACGGGCCTGTAGTTGTATGAATTCATACAATCTCATTTGTTCGTTTTCTGCTTATGCCTCATTGGTTATGTTTATGGGTGGACCTTCATTTTTTTTTCTAAAAATCATACGTTTCTGAAGGTATCACATTGCACAAATTCAAACAAAGTCGACATTTCGTAAAATAGTTACATTTTCTCATGAGATCAGTAATACTTCAGAAACTCAAGATGTGCATTATGTATCATCACTTTAGACCTCTAAGAGTACTCATCCAGCTCTTCTCACACTGTTTGCTGCACAATATTAGTCCCCCTGGTCCCTCCGCAGGGTGCCTGACAAATAAGGTGCTGTTATTGGGCTCCTTCTCAGGGCTGGGGGTTAATGATTAGTGCTATTGGGGGTTAAAGCCCAGAGATAGGGCCTTTCTCCTGTGCCTCAACAGATGTTGGTGGGCCTTTAATGTGGTTATCAGGATGGAGGGCCTTCTCAAGCCCTCTCTTCCATTGTGTGCTGCTGCATTCCAGGGCTCAGCCACGGCAACAGGGCATCATGGGAGAACAGCCAGGGGCTCCCGCTGGGCCACTGTGGGCCTGAGTTCTGACAGCCAGGGCAGCCCCCTCTCCCACACTGCATCCACACTACTGATCACACACTATTCTTCACACCTCCTGCTTACTCGACACACACACACACACACACACACACACACACACACCCTGTTCCTCTGCCATCCTGCCCTTTCCCACACCGGCTTTTATGGGCTAATTTATGGGCAAAAAGTCTAAAAATGCTCGTTTTACAGTTTACCCTTAGATGAGCTCTGTGGGCTGTTTAAAGTGTTTACTTCAAACCCCAATTTTCCTAAAGTCATGCTGTCCATTAGGGAACGCTAATTTAATTTATTTAGTTGTATTTGTGTATCAGTAATGCATAAATGTTCTATATTTTCATACATTATATTATCAATTAAAACTGTAATATTGTGAAATATTACAATTTAAAATAACTGTTTTATTTTAAAATTAATAAAATATATATTCCTGTGATGCAAAGCTGAATTTTCAGCATTATTACTCCAGTCTTCAGTGTCACATGAGAAATCAGAAATCATTCTAATATGCTGATTTGCTTCTCAGAAAGCATTTCTTATTATTATCATCAGTGTTGGAAACAATTGTGCTGCTTAATTTTTTTTGTGAAAACGGTGATGCATTTTTGCAGAATTCTTTTGATGAATAGAAAGTTAAAAAAATGCATTTATTTAAAATAGAAATATTTTGTAACATTATAAATGTCACTATTGATGCGTCCCTGCTGATTAAAAGTATTAATTTCGTAAATAAATAAATAAACAAACTACACTCCAAACTTTAAATGGTAGTGTATATATAATAATTTGAATAAATGAATGAATTAATAAACAAACTAATGAATAAATAAATAAATAAAATGTAATAATCTTTTTACCTGTTTCTGGTTCTGAGTTTAAAAAAAATATGTCTCACAACTGTGCCTTTATGTTATATAATTGTGATCTAACTATAATTGTATAATTGTGTATAATTTTTACTTCTTTTACTTTTTTTCTGAACCAGAAATGGCTTTCATACTTTTTGGCCTTTTTTAGTTCATTTTAAGTGATCTTGCAGTGTGACTACTGACAAATAAAATACAACCATTCCATGTAGTCTTTTACCATTAATGAGCTCTTTAAAGCTGCACGCATGTTTGAAATAGTTTGAGATCACATCACACCACAGAAAATCAACTTTCCATAAGTATTTAATGTCGACTAACCATGTATGGATGAATACACAAGCGCGGTGCCATCGATGCCACTCTCATGTGCCATGTATCGTGAGTGTCAGAGAGTTAGCAGCTGTGTGCTTGTTTGTATACAGATTCACGGAGTTTGCAATTATAATTACCCTGCAGCTGCACTCCAGGGCCCTGGGCTGCAGTTTCTCACCACGCCACCATTGTGTCTGTGCGCAGAGCAAGAATGTGGGAAAGTATTCTGTAACCCAATTAACCAAACTGCCCCCCAGCACCATCAGCAGGCCAGGATTACACACTCAGAGAGGCCAACGCTTCACCCAGCCTTTCTCCCAATGATACCTGCTGCCCACAGTGTTTAAAGACTAGTTTAGTTAGGGGGGTGTTTAACAACTAACTTGCGAAGTAAAGACAGTGTTTGACAGCCATTCTGCTTTGGCTAGAGAGTTTCAGGAGGAAGGATTGCTGGAAGAGATCAGCGGGACCCACTGAGTGGGCAGAGAAAAATAGGTAAGCCTCTCTTCTCCGCTGAGTAGAGCTATTCATTAGCGCTCTGATTTATACATCCTTCTGCTTTAATCTGCAGCCAGGCCAGTGAAGATGGATGGGTGACAGTCCCATCGGTCCCAGCGATTCAGCACTCAATCACCACGGAGACAAGCAGTGAAACCGGGAACGCTGAATGCCCACAACCTGAGGGGGGAAAATTATAAAAAAGAGAGTAGATAAGTTTTAGAAGTGTAAATCAAACTGTTGTCACTTTCCATGAATACAGTCCCATTACTTTGGGGTCCTATGTTTTTTAAAGTATTACAGACACAAATCTCATGTTTTGTGCTGTGAAAAAAAAATATTTTAGATCATTTTTTAAACATAATTTAACTTATGTAAAGTAATGGAGATTAAAAACATTAAATAAATGCCCGCCATCAAAATGGTGATATGATAAGTTATTTAGGCTAAATTTGTAACCCTGTTTTTTAATTGAAATTTTTTTAATTTTATGCTTATTTAGTGTTTATTTCGATGTAACATTTTATAGTCTATATTTAGTTAATTAATTAATTAATTCGTTTGTGTGTTTATTTTACTGGAAAATAACAATAAGGTTTTAAACTGTATTTACCCTTTGTTTTGGTATATGTTTTGTGGAAATTTACAATCTCATTTAAAATGAATAAAAAATAATCAAATTAAAACAAAACAATTCATTTCAAATCAACTTTGACATCCTAAACAACATTTTCTTAAGTTAAACTTCTTTCACTGACCATCAGTTCAAAAATAAAAAAAAGTGACACATTTTTAAACATTTCAGGTTTTATTTTGAATGCCATTTTTTTGTTTTCACAGAAAAGGAAATAATTTAATTAATCTATCTCATCTATTCAGATCCCAAAATGAGATCTTGTCTACTTCCTCTGGAATAAATAAGCAATACATGTATTGGTTTAGTATCTCTTTGTTGAGTTGCTCTATCCTGGGCCCGTTTGCTGTGCAGTGTGTTTGAAAAGAGTGAACAATGACAATCCACAGTGAAGGTGCTCAATTAACTGTATAACCCAGCCATCAATTAAGATATCAATTACCAGGTTGATTGATGGGCCTAAATGATTCGATTCATTTTCTCCATCCAGCGGAAAAACACTGGAAGCCACAGGATGTGAAAATTAGCTGATGATCCAGTCCACCTCACCTCGATAAGACAGAGTCATGCAAATATTTTTTAAATTCTTCCTTTTAACTGCATTTTAAAAAAAAAACTATTAAACACATATTTTTCAGTGTGAACAACTGTATACCCTAACACATTTTACATATATTTGTTATACCATTCCATTTTAGAAAACAAATTCACATTTGATCACATCTGAAATAATAGAATTCTAGTCACTGAGGCTATATAATGTTGAATTATTTATTGTATAATATTGCTAAGATAATATTGTATTTTTTTTTCAAGCAATCCTACTCAAACCTTCAGAATCTAACTCAATATGCTTAAAGTTCTGTAATAAAAAAAGACCTTTTCCACTTTAGCAGTTACTCAGTAGTACAATTCCTTGCACACTGCTTTCAAAGGGAATGGTTAGGCTACAAAAATGAATTATGTACCAGTGCATTACGTTTTGTTACAGTTAGCAGAAAGGTATGATAGAGCAAATTGTTGTGCGAGCATTTGAAGTGCTTCTATTTTCTATACAGACAACTTTAGAGTTTGTTTCTGAAGATTCTTTTGTAACCGATTTGACAATGTAATTTCATTATAAATGCAATATAAATTACTGTTTGTTGAATCGCACAAGCTGACATAATTCACTTTATTCTTTTTCTTTACATTTATTTTGTATGTCTCCATACAAAATAAACACGCAGGAGCAAGATAAAAGCATCATCTGTAATTGTAGTATTTCTTGTGCTCGCAAACTCACAAAATAATTTGTATACATTATTTTGAACGATAATATATTTTGTGTCCTACTGTTTTATATTACGCTTATATTTTACATGAAAAACTTTCCTGTTATTCTAATCATCCTATTTGAGCCAACATTACAACACTTAGCTTTTTTTCCTTTATTAGCAATTTGACAAATGCCCCCCTTTTTTTAACATCCCCATATCATTCTGCTTGACTTTCCCCCGGTTTTGAATTTGGTTATTGATTGCCTGTTCTGTTTCACTTGGAAAAGGTTGATAAAAAGAGGTTTTCATTTTCTCTATTGGATGTGACAGCTCCCTAACAAGAATAATGGAAAGGCTCCATTCACAGGCAAATCAGCCCAATTCAGCGTGCCCCTACACACTCAATGGAGGAGTCACAGCCCTTCCCTGCCCATTCCATCACAACCATCTCTCTTCAGCACCCCTCAAACTTAGCACAACTCTTCCAGCAGACAACATTCCTCTTTGTCAACCTCTCTGCTCGGCCATCAAGCGGATGAATCGGTCAATAAGCGCATGATGAATTTTTAAAAAGACAACTAAATAGATGACAACCATCAGCTGATTTTCCGGGCCTGTCTGCAACAGCTGATGATGCTTTGAAAATCTCTCAGGACAGTTTCTGTTGGGATAAACATTTGGCTTTTTAAAACGGCAAATTGCATGTTTAAACAAATCCTTTCAATCCATTGCAAATCAGCATTTCCCAAACACAGAAATTATACATCCTCTAAAGAAATATGATATCTTTCCTTACACAATCTAATACCCTAGATTTATTAAGAGAAACCCTAACCCTCAATCTCACTTGTGCAAAACAGCATCCTTTAAGCTGCATGTAATGACAAGAGGCCAAGCCCCTGGAATTCCTCTGCTCGGCTGTACAGCAGCCAGGTGACAGCAGCACACAGGTGTGCGGATTCAGAACACCAGCGCTGGGCTTGTTCACAGGGGATTATGGTATCAGAATTAACCTGGCTGAAGAGAGGTCATGGCTACTGGGCTCAGGCTTGTGTAGGGAGGTGCTGTAGAGTGAAACTATAAGCTTCTGTGAACTCCTGCACACAGTGGCATCCGGTTTAGGTTAAGTTGGTTAATTAGAAGAGAAATAGCATTCCACGCTAACTAGATAAACAATACTTGCACAGCACAATATATAAACGTAGCTTTTATTGGTTTTACTTGCATCACATTCTCTAACGCAGAAAAAATATCTCATTACACATAATGAACCCTTTAAATAATAACTAGATATACTTGCACAGCACAATATTTAAGCTCACAATATTTAAACTAAGCTTTTATTGGTTTTACTTGCATCACATTCTCTAACTCAGAAAAAAATATCTCATTACAAATAATGAACCCTTGATTTAATACATTGGATTTTTCCCACACTGAGTTTAACCCTTTTAACCCGCAGGGTTATTAAATCTGGCTTCAGAGCAGCGTTAGCACAGACACAGTTAAAATGTAGCTACCCGTTGTTTAGCAACAAACAACCAATCATTAACCGAACAGCGCTTGATTAATTTAATATTAATGCACTTTGCAAGTCACAGAAAGTTTAACGTGCTGTATTTCGTTCAGCGTGAGGGGGGAAAAAATCAAGATGTCAGTCAAGAACTGTGACGGAAGACGCACTGAGTGAGGAAAATACAGTTTTATTCTTACAGTTATCTGTGAAAATTCTGTTCTAGTGTAAAACAGAAGTTCAGCTGATGCGCAAGCATTTATTTAAACAGCTCGGGCGCCTGCTGTGAATTCGTTCAATCCGTGAGATACCGCAAATAAGAACTTAGCCTGTGGCTTTATGAATGTAAATAGCCCACTGGGTTACAGTGAGTCACTTACAGTGCAAGTGAATGGAGCTAATTTGTAAACACTGAAATGTTCGCTTTTTCAATGAGTAGCCTACAGCCACACACAAGATGTAAACATACTTGTGTTACCATGATTTTAGAGTGGGACAAAAGTTTAACAGAATTAATAAGTGCTGTTTTTTAAATTTTTTAAATAAGCTTTTTTTTAAAGAAAACTAATGAAGAGTCTGTATCATTTTTGTGATAATCAACAGTATATGCCACAAATGCTGTTGACTGAACTTGTATTGAACCTGTAATATTCCTTTACCAACAAGATTTATTCATTCAGAAGATGGAAGAGTATCTTAGCAGTAAGTATCTGAGCGGTTGCCCTATACAGTTCAGCAAAATCATCACTTTTCTCTTCATTTATGACCATATGTTTAAACCGTAGCTATGACACACACACACACAGAAGCGCCCAGAGGATCATCTAGGCTTAGCTTGATTCTTTGTCGATTAGACATGTTGTTGGATTTTGACTCTCCTAAGCACACACAGTCCTCTGTTTCCTGCGACTATGAGGAATCCACATCCCGTTCTGAATGCACACTTGTTCCTACTCTCGATTGGCCATTCAAACCCCTTTAAGGAGACAAGCCCCAATCACAATATTGTCAAGGCTCTGTTGGTTTTCTGGTTCAAATCCTTGTTCACGCTGTTTGCTGAGTACTCATCTGCTGTGACAGCCTTCAGACAAACAGAGGCTCCTGAAAGAGGACTTCCACAAGCAGATCCTTCCTGCTGGGCAGTGGCTGAAACGGCCCTTTCTCTCGCCATCAAGTGGAACCCAGCCTATTGAGCTGGCCCCTGGGAGCCCCACACTGAGGCAGGCCACGGGCCAGCACTTCGCCCCTCGGGCCCTGGGCCACCCTCACGCTGTTCCAGGACACCTGTGCCCACCTACCGCCAGTGTGGGAACCCTCGCCGGTGAACCTTGTTACCTTAATCAGCTGGGGGCTGAAACAAGAAACCAATTTAGACATTATTTTTAATCCTGTGTTCTGGTGTACTGGTGAAACAAAAATGGGTCTCAAACTTTGTTCAAACTTTTCTAAACAATTTCAGGTGATAAAAATGTCCAGACTGAACCAAGAAATGGGTTATCATTTTAAAAGTTGACCCACTTATTTACCCCTCATCCCCACCCCCAGATGAGGCACCAACTAAATCTCCATGGCACACTGCATAAAAATGGCATCAATTAATCAGCATTCATGAACCGTTTACTTGAGCCCCCCTTTGTTCAAAGCAGGGTTTAATCCAGACAGAGGCCTGGCTGTTTGGATCCCTGCAGACAGCAGCGGTCGGACCATTGTACTCTCACATCCACTGGCACTGCACAAATTCTCATTCCCTCACGCTCTCATTTGCTCATTTGTCATCAACGACAGCGCTCTCAGCTTTCCAGAGATGACAGCTATATTCTTTTTTGCACTGATGTAAAGGTGAACTTAAAG